AAAAAAAAAAAAAAAGTGCAAATAAGGAAATAACCCAAAACTAGGCTGCTGGTATCTTTCTTCAACTCTCCACACAGAAGCCCAGCAAAGACACCTGCCATGAGAATTCCTGGAGTGATGCCAGCCTTTCTGTGTGAGCCACAGGCATGGCAACCAAGGGACATCCACCTAGTGGTGCTGCACAAGACTGATGCGCTAACATTACACTGAAGGCTGCCCTGTCCACCTGTTCCTCATCCATAAGTCCTTAACCTCTCCCTCCCTACGCCCAGATAATAGTTAAGATCTGCCTTCCCCCTACTCCCTTGACTTGCCACTGTTCTGAACTATTCCCCTTTACCATAGCTGGCTATATCTGACTCCCAAGGCTCTTCCAGGCCTCCCTGAGAAGAAAACTGTCTATCAAAAAAAAAAAGGAGGCGGGTACAGAGGAACCACAGGTCAGGTGGAGAGGGAGCAGCAACTACTCCATTTGAGGTCTTTTCCCAAAATGAAAACACTTGCAGCAGCCGTTTTCCAAATATTTAAAAATTTCGACCTTTGTTTTAAATAAACGTCTGACTTTTCTCCGCCTTGGTTCAAATTCCACCCTCTGCTACTTAAAACCAGACTCAGCCCACCAAACTCCGGAGTTCAAGTTGGTTCGCCGAACATGCAGAGAACCTGAAGACTCCTTCTCCTTTGATGCTGCTGGTTTTGAAGACCCTTTCTCCTTCGATGCCAACCTCTCCAGGTAGCGCTTCTGAGCCCCCTAGGCGCCACCTCGGCTCTGGCAGCTGGGATATGCGAGAGGACCCCCCAGGCTGTCCGTCCTCTCCCCCGCAGACCGGCACGGCCCTGCACCTCATCTACTCGCCTCTCCAGACTTCCTTCCATCAGCGCTGCCGCCCCCTTGCAGCCCGCCTCTTCCCCCCCTCGACCTGGGGCATCAAACCCTGAAAGAAAATGGTCCCATGAAAGCAATGAAAAACTCAAGCTAAAGAGCAGGCGGCGGGGAGTAATGAGAACGTAACCAGGTGTTTGAAAAGGGAAATCACCCCAAGGAAAATAATCTAATGTCCCCACTGCAGGGACCTCTCCTGACCCCATTTTTCTCCTTCCGGAGCGCTCCACAGAGCACCAACTGAGTAAGGGCGGGTACCCCAAGTCCAACCTCCCTCTAATAACCCGAACAACTTGGAATCCCCCCGTTGGAAAGCCAAAGTTAGAAAGGGTTCAGCGCACCTCAGTTCACCCCCTCGTTACACAGAGAAGGAAGTGGGTCCAAGCGAAAAGGCCGACCGAAGCGGAACACACTCGCTACCCAGCTGCGGAGAGCAACGCGCGCCCCGCCCTGCCCGTCCCGCCCCCGACGGGAGGGCCGGTCCACTGCCTGAGCTCTGCCAGCTGCCCGCCTGCCGGGGGTACCAGGGTCTAGGATCCCCTCCCTGCAGGACCCCGAGTGGCCGTGGCCCCGCCCAGGTCTCCTCCAGCTTGTCCTCTAGCAGTGAGTTCCCGTGCCGGAGTCCCGCAGACTTACGAACAGGCCGTCCGCAGAGGCCAGAAGCAGCGGCACCAGCAGCAGAGAGAACATGCGAACTAGGAGTCCTGGCATGATCACTCTCCAGCCTCCCAGCTCCGCAGTCTGCACCCAGGCCAGCCGCTCGGCGTCATTTGAAAGAGGACCCGCAGCCTGGCACCGCCCCTCGCCCGCCCAGCCACCGGCCGGGGCACTTGCTCCGCCCCGCGGCTGCAAAGCCCGGCGGTGGGTGGGGCCTGGGGGGTCACGCGCTGCCTCGTGATGCCGGGACGGTGATATCTGCGTTTTGCTAGCCTCTGCTGGAGGAAGATACTATTTGGAATGGCAATCTGGAGGCCCTGCTGTCAGCAGCTTGATAAAGCGCCTGTGGGTTATATATTGACAAGGGTCCTCTGCTGCCCGGAGAGAGCTGAAGAGGGAAATTTTATACTGGCTCTTCGGAAAACCAGACCAGGGGTTTGCAAAGTGTGGTCCCTGGACCAACCATAACAACATCACCAGAAGCTTGTTAAAAATGTAAATCCTGGGGTCCCATGCCCAAAGCTCTGAATCAGAAACTCTAGGGTTAGGGCCCAGATTTTTGTAATTTTACAAACTGTGCAGATTATTACCATGAACACTGAAGTTTGAGAACCACTGCTCTAGATTATGACGAATTAAGAGGTATGGTTCAACCATAGCAAAATAATTCCCAATACCTGTTCCAAAGCTCCAGAGTGTGCAGAATTTTAATTTCATCTTTGAGTTTTGAGTGAGTAGAACAACAACACCCCCTACCTTTCAGGGGTTTTTGTTTTGTTTTGTTTTGTTTTGTTTGAGACGGTCTCCTTTTGTTGCCCTGGGTAGAGTGCCACGGCACGATCCTTGCTCACAGCAGCTCCAAACTCCTGGGCTTAAGCAATGCTGTTGCTTCAGCCTCCCCAGTAAGTGGGACTATACCTGCCACCAAGACACCTGTCTAGTTTTTCTGTGTGTAGTATAGAAGGGGTTTCACTGTTGCTTAGGCTGGTCTCTAACTTCTGAGCTCAAGCAATCCACCTCCTCAGCCTCCCAGAGTGCTGCATCTGGTCCCACCTTTCAGCTTTGCATAGAATACCTGTGATGCAGGCATGAAATAATATTATTTTTACATTTGGGGAAATGAAGGCTCTACATGTTAGTTACTTTATCCAGGGCCTGGGGTTACTACAGAGCTGAGTTTAAAGTTAAAATCTTCCTGGGCAGTGCCTGTGGCTCAGTGAGTAGGGCGCTGGCCCCATTACCGAGGGTGGCAGGTTTGAACCCGGCCCCAGCCAAATTGCAACAAAAAATAACCCGGCGTTGTGGCGGGTGCCTGTAGTCCAGCTACTCGGGAGGCTGAGCAAGAGAATCGCCTAAGCCCTAGAGCTGTGAGCTGTGATGCAACCGCACTCTACCAAGGAGGACAAAGTGAGACTTTGTCTCTAAAAAAAAAATAAAATAAATAAAAAACGAAATATCTTCCTGGCTGCTTTCCTGCATTCTCTGAAAATACGCCTTCTACTTACTGTGCAAGTTTTCAATCAAAACTTAGTTTCAGGCTCAGCGCCCTTAGCTCAGTGAGTAGGATACCAGTCACATAAGCTGAGGCTGGTGGGTGGTGGGTTTGAGCCCAGCCCCGGCCTGCTAAACAACAAAGACAAGTGCAACAAAAAAATAGCTGGGCGGGCATTGTGGAGGGAACCTATAGTCCCAGCTACTGGGAGGCTGAGGCAAGAGAATCGCTGAAGCTCAAAGTTGGAGGTTGCAGCATAGTGAGATTCTGTCTCCAAAAAAAAAAAAAATTAGTTTCAAAGAAAGAAACTTTTAAGGCAATTGATTATAGATAGATACACACAAAGGATGACCATAAAGATCATGTGCAATTGTAATCGTGATAAATTATAATTTATCTTTATATGTAATAGAACCTTTATAGTTGACCACCTCCTTAAGTTGACCTAATTTTCACAGATTGGAAATGTAACACATGTACATATCAGTACAGTAGGCCTAGTTCCTTACCACCTCCCTCATTGACCACCTCCTTAAGTTGACCTAATTTTCACAGACCAGACATGTAACACATGTACATATTAGTACAGTAGGCCTAGTTCCTTATGTTGACTACTCTGTCTGTTGACCAGTTTGTTACAGTCCCTTGAGTAGTCAACTTACAGAGGCTCTACGGTATATAGTATATTGAAATTTTTTCCACAGCTTTTTAAAATTCTGATTTACATGCCATAAAATTTACCCATTTTAAATATTCTTGAACTTTTATTTTAACTTCTCATTTCAAAAAGTAAAAAATCTGTGGTTAAATTATGCTGTCTATCAACCAGACTTTAGTTAGGCTACCCTGAGCCCTCTTCTCAACTAGGCTTCAACTTTGGTCTTGTTCTTACCAGGCCTGCATCACTAAGTCTTAGCAAATTCCTACTGAAGTCAGTTTAGGGAACATGTCCTTACCCTTATTGTCTCCTCTTGGTAATTTTCCTCCCACTGATCCCCTCACTTCGCTAGTTGGCCATAAATCCCCAACTGTCCTTGCTGTAGGAGTTCATCTGTATAACTGTCCCTATTACAATGGAGCTGACCCCTATTGCAGCAACCTTGAATAGAGTCTTCCTTACCATTTTTTAAAAAGTCAGAATAATTTTTTCTTGGCTATGTTTGGCAGCTCATGATCAGGATCCAGACCCCATTCTCTACTAAAAATAGAAAAACTAGCGAGGAGTTGTGGCAGACACCTGTATTCCCAGCTACTCAGGAGGCTGAGCCAGGAGGATCCCTTGAGCCCAGGAGTTTGAGGTTGTTGTGAGCTATGACACCAGCACTAAAGTCTGGGCAGAAGAGTGAGACTCTGTCTCAAAAACAAATAAGCAAACAAAAAAACCCTTTCCATTTGGTCTTAAGCACTGTGAGTAATGACTTATAAAAGTCAAGAATAGTGGTTAATGTGGAAGAGGGGTGCTGAGATTGGGACGTGGCTCAGAGACGGGAAACAAAGTTTTGTTCCTTGGCCTGGAGGGCCCTTACTAGAGCATTTGCCATAATATAACCCTTTAAGCCACTTCTTGTGTGTGTGTGTATTGTTTCCTGTATCTGTTTTTCATTAAAAAATCACTTTTTTAGCTTTTAAAAATAAAAAAAAAACTTAGCTCATACATTGGTGTTCTAAAACTTCTCATATTGCATTAACAAAATAGCTAAATTTTCATTTGTTCATTCCTTGCTCCTTCCCCATTGG